CCCCTCTCAGCCAGGGTGAAGATAGTTTTAGGCTTAAAGTTTTTATCTTATAAAATGTAGCTGACTATAAAGTGCATTGGTGGAATCCTTGTAAGAGAGTGATTAATTTGAGTATAAACATCACATAGTTTGCACGAGATAAAACTTTTTAGTTTAGTGTAGTGCATTTGAGTACAAATTGTGTACAGTAATGTTGCTTAAAATTATGGCTTTTTCACATTTAATTTACATTTAGTATTTGTTTAGTTTAAGTTTCTAGCAGTCCATGGTGCTTTAGAGACACAGGAGGAGTATAATTAGTGGCTCAGAGGTGTATTGTTGAATTATTATTACCTGACCTCGGTTGGTCCGGCAAAACGGATAATCAGGCAAGGCTTTGGAACCAAGGGTACCGGAAAATCGGTGGTGTACTTGTATCACTTTTCTCAAATACATGGAATTGATTAGGAGTGTAAATGCTTCACCAAACTGTGATAGGAATTTCATAACAATGTTTTTGTTTTGTGTTTCATTCAGAGTTAGTGTCCATAAAGCTCTGTGCGACAACATCGACACAAGAACAGCACTGGATCATATACGGGACCTCATTACAGAAGCCAACAAGTACATGAACAACAATGTTAAGGTAAAGTAAAATATCTCATAGCTGTTTACTGAAGAAGTTATTGAAGATATAATAGGCTGATAGACATACATATAGGTAATTAGATTAATGGTTTAATTTATTGATAGTAAAATGTTTTATAAAGTTTACCATCTTCCTTATTATTTTGATAAATGTTTTAAATGGAAGTGATTCATAGCATTTTATTTCCAAAGTTTAAGTATTAAAGTAAACTGTAGGTATAGGTAATTTTCTGTGAATGTATGTAAAGTAGTTCATCACTAGTTTTTTTCACTTTCATTATTAACTTCGACATACCACATTCTCTTTCAAAATCGTATAACTTCACCTTCGGTATCACTAACCAGAGCAGGGTTATGTACAAGGAGTCTAATATTTCACCATCTTCCTAAGAACACATGTTGATTCTACATGAATACAATGCCTTAACTCTCATAAGCGTGTCTTTGGTGATCTTGTTAAATTGAGATCTTATGTTCTGCTTTAAATATTTAATGGTTCTTTGACGATCTTGGTGGACAACAGATTTTTGCCAAAGATTGGTGTGTAGTGTCTAGCTCTCTTCATAAATATGAAACTGGCTCATTCCTGCAGTGTTACAGGGGTATAATTATTTTTGGCATCTTTGTTGAAGTGTTATGATTTCCATATTCTGAGTTTAACACCTCTCTCCTTTAACCCTTTTGCTGCATTTCACGCGCTTGCCATTTTAGTCTGACTATTGCCAGACAATTTTATTCAGCTTAGGGTAACCTCCTGCAGCCAATGGGTTAAAGACACCATGTACAGTTACTCAAAAAACTATCTTTACAAAATTGTGTTGGGAAAATATGACACAATAGACGAAGGATTTTGACAACCCTACCAGTGTTCATTCTGAAATTCATTGAAGGCCCCCCCCCCCCCAAGTTCAGATAGTTATTTGGGTGACTACAAACAGCAGCTGACTTATCCCTCAATTTCACCCTCTGTCTTTGTCAATCAAACCTGCACCTCCCTCCATCTACTGTATTTTGCATTCACCTCTTACTACCCTATCCAAGAAAATATTGAACAACCTTGGTGAAAATACATCTATGCAATTTATTTATATAATTATTACAAGGAAGATAATGATAGTTCATCAGAACAGTAGCTGAAAAGATGGAAATTGTTTATTATATTATCCTAACTTTAGTCTTGAGATATTATATAAAATAAACAAAGAAATCACCAATGTTTCATCTTGAACACAAGGGTGGTGGGAAGACGGCGGGGGGGGTGACAGAATGTCTGGCGTTTGTTTGTTTGTTTATTTATTTGAGATAAGATTTGACAGGTGGCGCTGAAGGCCTGCCTGCGTGTTTATTTATCATTACTTAAGAGTGACTCAGCTCTTCTCATAATTTGCCACCCAAACGACCTGGGTGAATATAACTTACATTGGAGGGATTCTTGTAAGATAGTAATTTATTTGAATACCTGTATAAACAAGCTATATTTGCAATAGACATTACAATTTTAGTACCATAATCATTTAGTACATGTACGATACAGGTTTCCACTTAGGTCCATTGTTACTGTACAATATTGACTAAATTCACTAGATAACGTTCGCCTGGCCGCACAATCTATAAGAATACGCGATGCATACGTGACTGTCCCCGCTCTAGGGCCATTTAGGTTCGTTAGGTCCCATTATTTGATTGGTTTTTTTTTTTTGTTTTTTTTTTTTTTTTCAATTTAAATTTTAATTGTTTATTCCTTGATAGAGGAAGTGGGATCCTAGTGCTGTCACTTGGTACCCCTGTACCATAATACCAGAAGCAACTGGCCAGTGTCACAAGTATATTCAGTACAGTACATTCATCCCTTGGTTATCGCGCCTAATTGGGACGCCGCCGATAACGAAAGTACAGAACCTATGGGATTTATTCTAATTGGTTCCAGGCACCCAAGACCCAACCCCAAGTTTCCCATTGTACGACTATTTATACCCACTAAATATATATATAATGTTATGGTAAATATCATAAACACACATAGGCATGGCTAGGTTTATTACAGTGATGAAAAGGGTACGCTTAATACTATAGTCCACAAAACATGTAGCTATGCTTTTTTTTATTTGGTCCCCATCATACGAGTCCGTTTTCTCTCACATCAGGACGCCTGAGTCCTCCGTTTTCTCTCTTAATCTTAGAGTGCACCAGAGGCTTCACTACAGTGAGACCTGCGTATAGCGAGAGAAATGCGAGAAACACGTAAAGTAAACAACATAACATATGGGATTAATTGAAATAGAGACCGGGCCGACCCCCAAACTCCACTTTTTCCCGACACAGTACCTATGTTCTAGTAAAAATAACATCTTAATTTTATGATGGTACACCACACAATTAATATTTAAGAGAAATAAAGCCGCCAAGTTAATGTCCATTCAAATAATGGACTCGACTCCCTCCCCCTCTTCTCACACTCGCTGGCTCTTCCCTCTCTGAGAAATTTTTGGGGGAAAACCACTAGATTTTAAGGTATAGTAATAAATAATACCTCAAACTAAAGTTAGGATAATATAATTGACATTGCTGGATTCCTTGCAAGACCAGGAATATTTTGAATATAAATGTCATATATTTTGCACAAAAGATAACATATTTACTCAGAGTAAACAAAATACTTACATTAGATCTAAAATTTGTATGTCTAATGCAAAATCTGTGATGTTTATATTCAAAATGATCATCAAATTGTAAGAATTCCAGCAATGTAAATTATATTCTGGCCAGGTAATTTGTATGAATTTTATGAGCTAAAACAAATATCTTCAGTTAATAAAAAAAAAATATTCTTCACGACACTATCTGTCAATCAAAATACCCCACCTTGCCTCCCCCCCTCTTCCCACCATGCCAGCTGGGTCGGTGGGTCCCTCCCTCCCCCACCATCCCCCACCTCCCCTCCCTACCAGAGAAATGTTTGGGAGTAAACAGAATATTTACCTTTTTAGTAATAAATGATACCTCAGACTAAAGTTCGGATAATATAGTTCACATTGCTGGATTCCTTGCAAGACCAGGAATATTTTGAATATACACGTCATATATTTTGCACAAAAGATAACAAATTTGCTCACAGTAAACAAAATACTTAAAGTAGATCTAAAATTTGTATGTCCATTGCAAAATCTATGATGTTTATATTCAAAATGATCATCAAATTGTAAGAATTCCAGCAATGTAAATTATATTCTGGCCAGGTAATTTGTATGAATTTTATGAGCTAAAACAAATATCTTCAGTTAATAAAAAAAAAATATTCTTCACGACACTATCTGTCAATCAAAATACCCCACCTTGCCTCCCCCCCTCTTCCCACCATGCCAGCTGGGTCGGTGGGTCCCTCCCTCCCCCACCATCCCCCACCTCCCCTCCCTACCAGAGAAATGTTTGGGAGTAAACAGAATATTTACCTTTTTAGTAATAAATGATACCTCAGACTAAAGTTCGGATAATATAGTTCACATTGCTGGATTCCTTGCAAGACCAGGAATATTTTGAATATACACGTCATATATTTTGCACAAAAGATAACAAATTTGCTCACAGTAAACAAAATACTTAAAGTAGATCTAAAATTTGTATGTCCATTGCAAAATCTATGATGTTTATATTCAAAATGATCATCAAATTGTAAGAATTCCAGCAATGTAAATTATATTCTGGCCGGGTAATTTGTATGAATTTTATGAGCTAAAACAAATATCTTCAATACCCGGTAAATAAACTAAATATACTTACCTAAATACTATCTGTCAATCAAAATACCCCCTCTTCCCATCTGCTCCCTGGGCCCCTTCCTCCCTCCCTACCCCTTACCTCCACCTTCCCTCCCTACCAGAGAAATGTTTGGGTTATAACAGTATATTTACATTTTTAGTAACAAATAATACCTCAGACTAAAGTTAGGATAATATACCGTATATACTCGTCTATAACCCCCCTTGTTTATAGGTCGACCCTGATTTTTTGACCAAGAAATCGTTAATTTATGATATTCCTCGTTTATAGTTCGACCCACGTTTTTGAGGGTAATGGAACAACGAAACCTTCAGTAAAAACGCTCTACGTCCTATAAACTGAGGCTAGCCGTGCATGAAACACGAGTGCCGAAGGCAAATTGTTTACCATTTATTATTACGACACTTTACACTGAAACGCGGGTAGTTTCAACAAAAATATTGTATATTTCCATTCAAGTATTTATTCAAGTCAATTAGGAGGGAATATTATTGTAATGCAGTACAACAGTTTTTTAACTAAACCATTCGAAAAGCGATTACGGTAACATCTTTTGAACGAAAGAAAGCGAAAGTCATTGTTTTCGTCACGATTTTATCCCACTTTCCACTGTAATACGTACCTAATTTCAGCAAAAATATTACATTTCCGTGAATGTATTACAGGTGTACCCCACTTAACGCGGTCAATTGAACCCAGAGGGTCCCGCGTTAAGTGAACAACAGAACATATGGGATTAATTCCAATAGAAACCGGCCCGACCCCCAAACTCCACTTTTTGAAGGCACATACCTATGTTGTAGTAAAAATAACATCTTAATTTTATGATGGTACATGCACACAATTAATACTTAAGAGAAATAGAGAAATACAGTCGCCAAGTTAATGTCCATTCAAATAATGGACTCAACTCCCTCCCTCTCTCACACTACACTGCCGGCTCTTCCCTCTCAGAGAAATTTTTGGGGGAAAACCACTAAATTTTAATAAATAATACCTCAAACTAAAGTTAGGATAATACAATTGACATTGCTGGATTCCTTGTAAGACCAGGAATATTTTGAATATAAATGTCATATATTTTGCACAAAAGATAACATAGTTACCTAGAGAAAAATTTTTATCTAAAATTTGTATGTTTAATGCAAAATATATGATGTTTATATTCAAAATGATCACCAAATTATAAGAATTCCAGCAATGTAAATTATATTCTGACCGGGTAATTTGTATGAATTTTATGAGCTAAAACAAATATCTTCAGTTAATAAAAAAAAAAATAATCTTCACGACACTATCTGTCAATCAAAGTACCCCACCTTGCCTCCCCCCCTCTTCCAACCGCGCGGTCAGTCCCAACCCTCCCCCCCACCCCCCACCAATCCTCCCTTCCAGGGTTTTTAACATTTAGTATTAAATAATACCTCAGATTAAAGTTAGGATAATATAATTGACATTGCTGGATTCCTTGTAAGACCAGGAATATTTTGAATATAAATGTCATATATTTTGCACAAAAGATAACATAGTTAATTTGAGAAAAATTTTTATCTAAAATTTGTATGTCTAATGCAAAAATATGATGTTTATATTCAAAATGATCATCAAATTATAAGAATTCCAGCAATGTAAATTATATTCAGACCGGGTAATTTGTATGAATTTTATGAGCTAAAACAAATATCTTCAGTTAATAAAAAAAATAATAATTCTTCACGGGTAACAGATGGTCGGTCGGTCCCTCCCTCCCCCCCACCCCCCACCAACCGTCCCAAGGAGATGTGTGGGATAACCACTAAATTTTAATAAATAATACCTCAAACTAAAGTTAGGATAATATAATTGACATTGCTGGATTCCTTATAAGACCAGGAATATTTTGAATATAAATGTCATATATTTTGCACAAAAGATAACATAGTTACTCTGAGAAAAATTTTTATCTAAAATTTGTATGTCTAATGCAAAATATATGATGTTTATATTCAAAATGATCACCAAATTATAAGAATTCCAGCAATGTAAATTATATTCTGGCCGGGTAATTTGTATGAACTTTATGAGCTAAAACAGGCAGTCAGGCAGGGTGGCGGGTGGGGCAAATCTAAAAATAGCGTCTCGAGCCGGACACTCACCGCGTATATGTGGAAAAAATCCGTGTTAAGTGAAAGTTCAGCTCTGGCGAGGCACCGCGTATATGATAAAACGCGTAAAGTGAAACCGCGTTAGGCGGGGTAATACTGTATTTCAAGCACAGTATGAATAGAATATCATTGTAATATAACAGAATTTTAACCGAAAACTATTAAAAAAACGAGTAACATCTCAAGAACATCGGAAGCTTAGGTAAAGTCTTTTGTTTTCGTCATGTATTTTATCCTATTTTACATTGAAATACATCACATTTCAGCAAAACTATTATTTATTTCCGAGAATATATTCATTCAGGCGCAGTTTAGGTAAAATATACTTGTGATGTAATAGTTTTTTAACTGAAAACGATTAAAAAAACACGTACTCTCTAGCCCTGTTCAAGGAGAGGACTGGGAGAAGCTGTTTGGTGCTGCAGACGATGACAAGGAAAATGATTTTGATGGATTTTAATGAAAATATTCAGAAATATGGTATCGTAGTATTTATTCAAGTCAATTAGGATAGCATATTATTGTAATACAACAGTTTTTAACTGAAAACCATTCGAAAAGCGATTACGGTAACATCTTTTGAACGAAAGAAAGCGAAAGTCATTGTTTTCGTCACGATTTTATCCCACTTTCCACTGTAATACGTACGTCATTTCAGCAAAAATATTACATTTCCGTGAATGTATTATATCAAGCACAGTATGAATAGAATATCATTGTAATACTGTATAACAATATTTTAACCAAAAACTATTAAAAAAACGAGTAACCTCTTGAACATCGGAAGGTTAGGTAAAATCTTTTATTTTCGTCATGTATTTATCCTATTTTACATTAAAATACATCACGTTTCAGCAAAACTACTATTTATTTCCGAGAATATATTCGTTCAGGCACAGTTAAGGTAAAATATACATGTGATGTAACAGTTTTTTAACTGAAAACGATTCGAAAAAACACCTGTACCGTCTAGCTGACGCTACAGCTGGTGGTGCGTCATGCGTCGTTGTAAACAATAGGAGGTTGAAGTAGATTACCGGGTATTATATTAAGTGTGAAATATCGAAAAGGTTTTTATTACCGGTATTTTTTGTAGATCAATGAGAACTGTGATACCGTATATGATATGATAAGTTAGCCTGTGCTAAGAACTTCAACATAGACTACTGAAAGCACGTTGTAAGGTAATTTAGCCTATTGTAAGTTGGTGAGCATTTGCTGAAGGAACTGCACAACTTTTCATTACTAATTGGTACATATTTTACATTTCCATTGTTTACTGGCAGTAAATGGTAAATATTTTTCATGTCTGAAGCTAAAAGTTGCTCCTCGCCCTTCCCATCATGCACGGGTTCAACCTAACAAAACAATTATGCATGTATAGGATGACCCCCAATTTTTTGCCTAAAAATTTGGTCTTAAAAACTCGAACTATAGACGAGTATATACGGTAATTGACACTGCTGGATTCCTTGCAAGACCAGGAATATTTTGAATATACATGTCATATATTTTGCACAAAAGATAACATATTTCCTCTGAGTAAACAAAATACTTGCATTAGATCTAAAATTTGTATGTCTAATGCAAAATCTATGATGCTTATATTCAAAATGATCATCAAATTGTAAGAATTCCAGCAATGTAAATTATATTCTGGCCAGGTAATTTGTTTGAATTTTATGAGCTAAATAAAAAAATTATACTTCACCCGCGTATATGAGTAGATGCACCGCGTAAAGTGGGAATTCCAGTTCTGACAGGGTACCACATAAATGTATAGAAACCGTGTAAAGCGGGGTATTACTGTATACTTAGTAATGCCACAGAATTTGAAATTGCAACCCCAATTGCAACTAGGGTTGCAATTGTTGAGGCAACTAGATATGTCTGATTACAGCAAATGTGTTATTGTCAATTTATAGGTGAAAGATTTTATCCTCAATAGATGTAGGTTAACATTACACCAGGAGGCAAATGTTTAAAAAAAGCCTAATCAAGGAAGCATATTCCTTTAGCACATAATATCTGACCAGTATGGGGAGGATCATCGTGTCTCTGTCAGGGGGTCGTGGAGTGGTGGCCCAGCAGGCGTCACGGACGTATGCGCGATCGGACGTTCGGTTGGACGTTAACCGGCGCATGACTGTGTATATATATAAAAAAAAAATTCCCAGTTACTTGCACACACAATCTTACATACAGAAAGAGAAAAAAAAAATAAAAACAATTATCAAAAGGTCAAACTAAAGGGAATGAAAATTTCTTGGTGAGCTACCTAAGTTAGTAGGCTGAGAGGGAAGTTATGTTATGCTTATTATTCAGCTCATAATTTTGGCTAGATAAACTTAACTTTTTTCACTTTTTGTACTCGGTTACATGCACACACAATCCTACATACATAATGTGCAAAAAAAGGTAAAAAATAATTATCATAAGGTCGGAAACAAAGGAAATTGAAATATTTTTGTGTTAAAGCAAGAGGGAGGAGCAGTGTCAGCAGAGGCAGCAACCCAGCTGGGCTGCCTTGCTATGGCAAATGTTGAGGCCACTCAGCCAGCATCTATGCAAATTGCGTTTGTTTTAAACTTTGATTTAGCTTTTCCTAATGGTTTTAGCTGCATGTTTTTATCTTGATAATATTTTATTAATGTTTTCACTGTGTTCCGTAGTAGTTACAGTAGTTGTGTACTATTTATCATCACAGTAGTTAGGAAGGTTTTATTTTTTGTGAACCGACTTCATGCTTTGGGGGATTTCTTGTCATTGGAGAACTGAACCTTATTTTTCACAAAATATATTTTTGTATCTGATTCTGTCATCTTAGTTATTATAGGCATCATCTTAGAGGTTAAGGCAAAAACATATTAGGAATAATTTCCAAATACCATTTGTTTTTGTACAGTATAATGAAATTTTAGTTTTGATATAGATAAATTAAAATTGGAAAATGTTCCAATTACTTTCTCTTCATATATATTATTTCTAATTCTCTTCTCATTACCCAGGTAAATTCACAGCTGTTGCTAAATATCAACAACTACATAGGCAAGTTAATGAGTATGTTTGGAGTCCCAGTTGGTGATAGAGCTGTGTCTGGAGGCCAGGTGAGATGATAGGCTTCTCTCTCTTTATGCATATATGTTTTGCATTAAATTTTTCTCATATTTTTTATGCATACAGTTCTATGGCTTCTTTGGTTGCAGTCATAAGTTTCATTTCCTCTCTTTCTTACAATATATTGCGATGACTTTGAACACTGTTTAGATTTACTACTTGTGTTCTGTAATTTTTGTAGTCCAAGTTTCATATTTTGAAATATTGATTCTATTTATTTTTTAAAGTTGTGTGAACATATACTGTATATAATAAATGTTGCACTTCCTTCTCCTGCACTAAGTCTCTCATGCATGAAAATAATTGTTTTCAGTGAAGTCTACAATATGTGTTACTTCTATTGTAAAGATGGACAAAATTCACATTATTCACTGCAGTAATGAACATAATTTGTATACAAGTATTGATTAATCTTGCCTATGTTTCCTCAGGATTCAGAGAAGCTGGTTGCTGTAGCAGAAGTTGTAGCCAGCATCCGAGAGCAGCTGCGGCAGTGGTCCCGTGATAAAGAAAAGGATATTAAAGATCTTCAGGGGCAGCTGCTGGGTCTGTGTGACAGTATTAGGGATGACCTTTTGCCACCCCTTGGTGTCAGATTAGAAGATAGAGAAGGAGGTCAGTAACTTAGATACAAGAGTTAATTTATATTTTGAAATTTTTAAAAGAAATTGTTTACATAGAACATTAAAAAATAAAGTGATTATTTTTCTATATAACTATGTATTGTAATAAAAATTCTGTGAAAGTTTAGTCCATAATTGGAATTTTGGCTTCAATGTCTTAACTGTTGTTTCAGGAACCCCAAGCATTAAATTGGTTGATGCAGCAGAATTGATGCAGGAAATACAGGCCAAAAAAGATCAGGAGGAAGCTAGGAGACAAGAAAAGGTTAAAAAGAAAGCAGAACAAGTGGCCAAGCAACCGACAGAAGCACCAAAAGATCCCAAGGATATGTTCCGTACTCCTGACTACTCTCAGTGGGACAGTAATGGTCTTCCAACACATGACAAGGAAGGGAAGGAGATAACAAAGAGTCAAGTGAAGAAGTTGACCAAGCTAATGGAGGCACAGAAGAAAAAGTTTGAAAAATGGCAAGCTCAGCAGCAACAATCATAGTGTAGTGTCATTGTGCTTTGTGTGTGAAGTACTGTAGCCCATGGAACTAAGACCATACGAGTGATGATTTTGTTGCAGTCGTTGAAGATCTTAATTTATGTATAGATTTTGTTTTGTCTAATTTGAATTAATTTCTCTTAATTTGATAAAAAGTGAAATACAGTGGCCCCTCGGTTAACGAACACAATTGGTTCCACAGAGTCGTTCATTAACCAAAAATTTTGTTAACCGAATCTATTATTTCAATGGGATATTGGGTAATTGGTTCCAACTCACAGAAAAGTACATACAAAGTATAAACAAAATGCAGTACAATACAGTACTGTACACTTACTTTGAGGTGTGTATGTAGAATTTTGCTGGTTGATGAAGATGAGAATTAAAAGTGGGGGGTGGAGGAGGAGAAGAGAAGGAAGTGGGGGTGGAGGAGAAGGGAGAAGAGAAGCATTTTAATGCTTCTTGGAAGGCGAGTCACCTTCCATAATAATGTCGGGAACCTCTGGACTGACAGATTCTCTAACATGAAAATCCTCTCTCCTTTTTGGAGAGGAACACTGAGGGGAATCATCTTTCTTACCCATACTTATGCAGTAATTTCACCAATAATATTTTAAGTTCACTAGCTGTAATTAAAGATTATTTTATTTAAATCAACACTGCACTGATCTATATATTATCAATATGTTAACTAAATTTCAGAATGACCAATTATTTTAATGTAAAAATGTAAAATTATTCAGGAGTCCAACAAACTCGATGTTTCCTCCACTGTAAAGAAAGTTAAACAGAGAAGCTTTGGCGGGTGAGTCAAGCGGCTGATGGGCGCACAAAAACTAATTCCCTGTACTTCATATGTTATCAATATGTTAACTAAATTTTAGAATGACTAATAATTTTAATATAAAAAATGCAAAAATATTAAAGAGCACAACCTTTTTGATATTTACTCCACTGGAAACGAATGTAAACAAAGAACCGATTACTGTATTGGCGGACTAGCCGATCAGCTGGTGCGCACAGCAAAACGTGTTTCTCGTAAGGCTTTCGTTAATCAAAGTTTTGTTCGTTAATCGAACTGAAAATCCTTATGGGAGCTAAATCGTTAACTGATATTTCATTAATTGGACCGTTCGTTAACCGAGGGACCACTGTCAAAATTGCTTTACCTGATGGCCACCACAACTAGAGATGGCTACAATGGAGGAAGGAGGTCGATGGTATATGTAATATCCCCCCTTGACCTTCACAGTTTTATATAGGGTTGAAATTGACTTAGTTCTCTCTTTTATTGAAATTTCTTTATTTAAAAGTACTGTACTGTATCTTCATGCACATCAAAATTATTAAATATTTATGGTTTTGCTTGTTATTTCATTCAGAATTTAATTTTCCAACTTGGTATATCATATTTTACGGCATACTTTTGTGGGTACATTATTTTCCTCCTGTAGCCATAGTTTTTTTAAAATAATATATACAGTACCAGTAAATGTGAGGAATGAATAAAAATAATACCAATAAATAAGTTAAAAAAAAATACTGTACAATATTCCCAAACCAATAAATAAAAGCCAATGAAAGTTTAACACAGTCGCTATATGCATATAGTCCCTGGCTCACCATAGCAATGCAGACACCACCTCTGTTGATTCTCCCTCTCCCCCTTCCCCCCTACTGAACTAGCCAGCTAACTCCTATGTAAAGAAATGTATATTCCCTTTACACGTTTGCCCGTAGGACTTTTACTTCTTTTACTTTTTTTTCATGATATACAGTGGTCCCTCGGTTAACAAACGATTTTATCAACGAAATTTCGGTTAACGAATTAGCTTCCATAAGGATTTGCAGTTCGATTAACGAACAAAACTTCGATTAACGAAATCCTTACGACAAACACGATTTGTTGTACAGTACTCATCAGCTGATCGGCTAGTCCACCAATACAGTAATTGGTTCTATGTTTACATTCGTTTCCAGTGAAGTAAATATCAAGAAAGTTGGTCTCTTGAATATTTCTGCATTTTTTATCTTAAAATTATTGGTCATTCTGAAATTTAGTTAACATATTAATAATATATACAGTACAGGGAACAGATTTTGTATGCCCATCAGCTGATTGATTTGACCAACAATGCTTCTCAGTTTAACTTTGTTTACAGTGGATTGAACATCCAGTTTGTTGGTCTCTTGAATATTTTTGCATTTTTACATTAAAATTATTGGTCATTCTGAAATTTAGTTCACATAGATAATATACAGTACAGTGCAGAAATTATTATGAAACATGAAGAAGGCATTAGAACCAATGCACTCTGTAAAGAATATGGCATGTCATCATCGACTACCTCTACAATCAGCTGTTTGATATGAAAACAAAGCTGCCGGGAATATGACATACACACCTCAAAGTAAGTTAAAATACTGTATTCTATTGTTTTTTATTTATTATTTTACAGTATACTGTACTGTATTTAGTTTATATTTAATGTTTTGTTAATTCTATTACCGGTATACAGTACTTTGTATGTATACTTTTTCTGTGAGTTGGAACCAATTACCCAATATCCCATTGAAATAATAGATTCGGTTAATGAACGACTGTGGAACAAATTGTGTTCGTTAACTGAGGGACCACTGTATATGTTGGATGATGTGTGCATGTAACTGAGTAAAAATAAAGTAAGTTACATATATCTACCTGAAAATATGAGATGAAAAACAACTATAACACCAGTAGCCTGGTGGTTATAGTGACAAGTCTAACCTGGCTACAATCCTGCCAGCTATGTTAACATGCAAATCTGTGAAGAAAGTTACTATATATGTAAATCTTCATTTGTATCAGGTATTTGTAGATTTAAAAATATACGTTGCAGGTATGTCATTCATTGATTGTAATGCTTGTAAGAGTTCAGAAATGGTTACTGCTTAGCTACCGTTGATGAGTTGGGTGTCTGCAATACTGACGTTACTCGCCTCAGGTGATCATCATCAGTACAGTTGTTATAAATCGAGCTTTTATATTTACATTGATTATTTTTTAATTAATTAAAACTAATGATAATGTGTTAAGTACACAAAAACATTTTTAATTCTGGAGTTGGGTTAGGTAGAATTATATGCCATAAAGTACAGTAGGTTGTGAATGATTAATTAAAGGGCAGCAATTCTCAGGTATGAATAGAATCCCTTTTATTTTCAACATTTTACTGTCTGCTAAAGTTATTCTTGGCATTTAATGTTTGGCACATATTTTCAAAGGTATTAGAGCAAAGTAAATTTCTTTAGTAAATTTTCTACTTTACTGACATCTGTGAGTATTCTGATAATCAAATGTTCAATGTACCATACCTTACCCATAGTCAATGTGTTTTACACTACAATCAGAGCATCCTTTTCCTGTTGACCACTTAACTTATCCCTTGCTCAACAAATGGGTGGCGGGAGATTTGTATGCAAGTATATCTTCCATCAATCCATCCAGGTTTTGTTTCCAGAGTTTAACTGAGAAACTCACAAAGATCTTAATAAAATACTTATAGACAAATTAACATAATAATATACAATTACCTTTTGTTGAAAATACATTTAATTTCAGTTTTATTTTCCTGGCACAATATTTTCTTGTTTTGTCTGTTACACATTTTCATAAATCTTAAAATATTTTATATATGTACTGAAGTGACATCTTTATCCTTTTCCAATTTTTAAGGACCCAAATCACATCAGTACCCTGTTGTTTAGCTCATGAAATTTTCTAACTAAAACACAAATTGTACTTTCTACTAAATCAATCAATCGGAGTACCATCCTCGCATCTAAGGGTTGGCGTCCAGTCCTGCACTCTAAATGTTCTTCAGCTATTTCTACCAATCCTTCAAGGTTTTATCTCTCTGGGGATCCATTTTTTTTATTTCATTCATCCATCTCAGTCTCTGCCTTCCCCTGGCCCTCCTACCCTCAACTTTGCCCATTAATATTATTGTTATTATCCTCTCATCCCTAATTATATGACCAAAGTATCTGTAGTTATTTTTATTTTTCTGTACATTCAAGTATTTCTCTTGAAGTTTTTGCTAATCTTATTAGTACATTTGTTTTCCTGTCAGTGAGGCCTATTCGTAGCATTTACCTATAACACCACATTTCAAAGGCCTCCAACCTCTTTCTGGTGTCTGCTGAAAGTGTGCATGCTTCTGACCCATACATCAGTCCTTTCCATATACAGTAGAGCCTTTCAGCAGTCGTTTCTCAAATTGATCTACCTTTTCAGAACTGTATATAATGTGAGTACAGTACAGTAACATATTTTCTCTCAAGTTGGAAGTTATAACTTTTTAGAACTGCAATAAAAGCAGTTTTGTTTTCTTTTCTCAAAATATATGATGAAATGCAGTACAGTACTGTATTCCAAATCTCTGAGTGTGCCATGACAGCAGCAATAACCACTGTACAGTGAGTTCTGCTATAACGCGTGTTTTGATAACGCGAATTTGCTCTAACGCGATTTATGAATAGAGGAACGATATTTGTATAACGCAAACTCTTGTTTGCTGTAACGTGATTTTTGCTTACTATTTCAACAATTTTGTGGTATTAACTGTAAATATGGTAAAGAAGAATATCTCCAAGAAGCGTTCTGGTGATCGAATTCCCGGTGATGATCGTAAAAGAAAGGATATAACACTTGAAGAGAAGCTCAATGTTATCAACCTCAAAATCACCCTTCTCCCCCATCAAGATATATTCATATTTTTTCAAGGTAAAGTGTTACATTTACTGTATGATTTCATTATTAGATATGAATGTAACATTTATTTAGACTGTGCTATCCTTTGTGTTAGGCTAACTACTAATTTTTTTTCGATTTCGAGTAGTAATCTGCACCTAACCCTATTTTCTCCATAAGCCCTGTTATTTCTATTACGCGATTTTCTATAACACGATATTTTACAAGAACACAACTATCGTGTTATAGCAGAACTGACTGTACACCACTTGCATGGATGACCACAGAAAATTGGATATTCAACATGGAAACCAATGTATGAGGTTGTTGAAAGGAAGATAAGTGGCCAGAATTCTAATGAGAGTAATGAGTAGAAAAATGAGATACTCTACAAGATATCAGTGTTGGAAGAATGAAACATTTAATCTGGTAACCTAACCAACTCCACCTGGGAATATCCCCTCTCCTCTATTCATTTCAACATATGATCTCATTTAATAACTTATTTCCACAAGAAGATACTCACATCAGAAATCACTTAAAGAACAGTACAATGTCAGTCATATAAATTTATATAGTGTACAGAAAGTGTAAATTTTTTTTATACCGTGTATATTAAAAAATGAAAACCGAATTACAGGAAGAGTGCTTTGAAACATGATTGTCATATAGAGGAGTACAGTATAGCTCCTCCCCGACTTACGACGGGGTTAGGAACCAAAATCCAGGTCGTAAGTCGAAAATGCTGAAAAAATACATAGAAAATCTAAAATGGGTGTCTCTTTTCTTCTCGGCACCACAAAACTCTCACTTTTAAGGTTGCCAGCCATATTTAAGTGAATTACAAACGAAAATTTTTCTGTGTACTGACGTTGGAGCTCGAAAATACGTAATTTGACAAAATTTTGGTATGACTGAGGCAGGTCGTAAGTGTGGGTGGTTGTAGGTCGGGGAGGAGCTGTATAGGTACCACTGTAAATTACATAATATTTACCATACTTCACTATACCATAAAAAGAAAACTGCAATATTATACATAACGGATATCAAAGTAAGGAGAAAATCCACAGGTTGGGGTGCACATTTTGAAAAAGTCTTCCTTCCCATTAGGAGGAGACCAGCCAACTACAGCTGCTTTTAAGATAATTTTTGTGATGCAGTTTAACTGGGATCACTTAGATTTTATTCTAGCTGTTCCAAAAATTTAGCAATATGCCTTAAGCTAGGAAGCATATATGCATTTGCAGTAT